AGGGCAAAACCAAGGTTATGGTCCTACGCTGGACCACTTGCATCCCTGTCCTTGAAACTTGGTACCGGAGATCTCAGTTCCGGCCTGGGACTCCACCCCCACTTTCCTAAAATCCTTGGCACACCCCTACTACGCACTTTCGGGCCCTCTGCCACTCCGGAACAGGAAGCCACGCTGGGCGGGAGGTTTTGGGCGTGACAGCGCTTCGTGTGTCTTTTGCTCGCATGGCTTGTGGTCTGGTTGCCCTGTGGTGGTTTCTTGCGCTTCACTGCGCGGTTGGCAGGTTGCTCAGCTGCTCGTCCGCTTGCTGTGCTGGCCATCAGTGTCCTTTGCTTGCATGCCTTGTAGTTCGGTTGCCTTGTTGGTGGTGCCTTGTTCCTATCTGCACGGTTGCCGAGCTGCTCATCCACTTGCCCTCTTTGCCTTCCGCGTCCTTTACTTGCTTGCGTGCCTTGTAGTCTGGTGGTGACTTGCGCTTCAATGCACAGTTGCTGAGCTACTCGTCTGCTTGCCCTGTCGTTCCTTGCAGTCGTCTTTGGTGATAAGCAGTTGGGTTGCCTCTACTGCAGGGTTGCTGCCCGCTGCTATGTCCAGCTTGGGGACAGTCCGCCTTCAACATGGGTCAAAGGGTTCATGACCCAAGCCATCAATACAGGGATTCCACAGATTGTCGAGGGCTTAGCCTCCTAATGAGTCGGTGCAACTTCGACGAAACAATCTATCATCATCAGCTTTTATTTCTTGGGAAAAGTCATAAAACCTCCCCGTGACGAAGCCTCTGTATCCATTTCCCCCCAAACAGGGAAAAAGGTAATGCGGGTCCTTTGTATCCATTTCGCCCCAAAGTGATTTGAGGCCTGCGGCACCTTTTTCCCCGGGGGGGAATGGATACAAAGGTTATGTCGGGGGGGAGGTTTTATGACCTTTCCCTTATTTCTTTCGGTCTTTCTATTTTGTGGGACTTGTTTTTTTTTTTTTTGCCTGCTCGCTGTGTTTGCATGTCGGCCGTTCTCCCGCCACCTATTGTTCACCCCCGGGTCTTGGCATCTTTTGGGAGTTGTTTTTTTGTTCTGCCTGTGTATGTCTGGGTCTCCACACTCAATTTTCCTAAAATCCTTGGCACACCCCAATTTCTACTTTGGAGGCCCTTTTTAGGCGTTTAAGTCACATCTACAGGAAAGTTGTGCAGGGCGTGTGGTTTGATCATCTGTTTGTGGCCCCCTTTGCGTGCTATGTGCGCCATGCCTCTACCGAGGGACGAGGGCGAAACAAACTAGCTCATTCGTTTTGTGCGTAATGAGGGGAGACCAAATTTCCCGAAGAGGCGGAATCGGATTTTAGTGGACACAATTCCATGGCCCAGAGCACTGCCAGGGCCGTGCCCCATTTGTGGAGCTTCTGTTCTGGATTCTACGAGTTCACACTGCGACCGTGAGATTTTGGTAGCAGGGACCCCTGGATCCTGCCCCACATGTGGAGACTTGGTTTTTGTTTGGAGTCGTGCGACAACCGAGATATATAAGCCAGACTATGCAGCTCATTGTCTGAGACAGTTAGGTTATGGCTTGTCCAATTTCTTTTATTCTGCTCATTCGAGGCAGGGGACCCCACAATTTTGACAGCATTACTCAGCTTCGCTCAGGTAGGAAATTCAAATTCTCAGAATTTTGAGAGCATTAGGGCATACTCACACCGGGACCTATAATCCCAAAATCCCAAAAAAAAGGGTAAAAGGCCGGTCACAGATCTACCAAATTAGCAAATGTACTATTCCAGTGCCCATTTGTCAGCGGCCTGGGAAGCCACGAGGCAAGGGATTTTTCGGGCACCTCTGGGTGTGACCGCAAATGCCCTTTTTTATTTGTTGCATTTTTCTTCGAAAATTGGCAAAAATTCGTTCACAAAAGTTCTTGTCCAATTAGTGGATGGGTGCCGTGTGACCAGCCAAGTACCAAATCCCCATTTCTCCGGACGGCCGCGACCTTGTCCCATCTGAAAAGGCACAGCACTGTGACGTGAACCATTCCCGAAACCTCAAATCGGCCCTTCCCAAATTGCGGATTTGGGGTCGCCGTGTGAGTATGCCCTTAGGCTTAATCAAACTCCTCATTCGAAGGCACACCACTTAGCTAAACTTGGGAGAGAAACTCTCGTTCTCTTCGTATCGATGCCCAGGAAGGTACATGAGGGCAATGGGGATTGAACCCGCGACCTCCTGAATGCCACTTGCCAGCCTTACCAACTGAGCTAGGCTGCTGCGGCAACACATTCCGACCCTCCAACTACATCCCAAAACAAAAATCAGAAGAAAGATCTGCAACGGAGTGCATCTGACGGTTGGCGAACCAACCATATCCTTCTTTCACATACATAAGCCAACTGTTACAACCCGGGGCTAGGTCCCACTCGCACGAATTAAGAGATACTGACCGTAGATAGCAAAGATCRACGGCCGAAATCTCCTAATTTGCGCAAGTGGGACCTTGCCCCCGGCAGGTTTCCAAAATAGCCTAGCTTTCGTATGGGCATGTTACCATCGGGAATCGAGCTGATGAACCACAAACCGTTCTGAGCATTCCCACGTTAGAATCTTTTTTTTTTTTTTTTTTTGCCCACTTTAGAATTTTTATTTATTTATTTATTTTTGCCCACGTTAGATTTTTTTTTTTTTTTTTTTTTTCGGTAAGCTATATTCTTCTCTCATCTATCTCATTTTTTCTTGATAGTACGCATCTATCTCATCCTCTCACTATTCTATATATAGTATGAGGGAACACCGACCAACCCGGATCCCTCCCCAGCCCACAGGGTAGGTTTGCACCACAGCTGTGGTGCGAGGGCAAGGCTGTACCAGTCCCTCATCACGGTGACGAGGGGTGGGCAGGCATTGCCGATGGGGAAAATAGGTGGTGCTAGCGCCGAGCAATGGCCAGTCACTGCACCTCCCCGTACACCCCCGCAACCCCACATGGGGGTGTCTAATGGCCAATATTGTGGCTGCATAGCCAACAACATCAGCCAAGGTCCTGCCAATGCTGGCTTGGGGGGCCGACGGGTTATCTCTAGCTGGTAGAACACCAAGCTTGCCCAGGCACATCGTGAGGCCGATGAGGATTGAACCCACAACTCCTGAATGCAACTTCTGTGCCTTACCAACTGAGCTAGGCCCACTGAGCTAGGCACATCGTGAGGCCGATGGGGATTGAACCCGCAGGCCACGTTAGAATGGATTAGGCTGTGGACATAATCATCCCGAGAAGCATCCAGGCCCATTGTACGATTGAACTCGCCGAGCTATGGACGGTGCAATGTTGGGTATGGGCCTCGCCGCACCACTCGCCGAAAGGCAACATACGGAATGTATCAGACGCGCCCTCAACCATATACATTCACAACCCTGGCCTTTAGGCCTCGCCCTCAACCAAATCTGAAAGAGTCAAAAATATTGTAGCTGTATATTTGCACATTCTACCGCAATATACATTCCACGTTTGAACATTTAGTACGGGCTGTGGCCCAGGTCCTCCGCCCCCAGTAAAACCAATGATAGGTTTGGACAGCCAATCAGTTCGCAGCACACACACACACACACACACACACACACACACACACAGAGAGAGAGAGAGAGAGAGAGAGAGAGAGAGAGAGAGAGAGAGAGAGAGAACTTCGTCAGAAGGTCGGGCGCCAAATGCTCGGGTAAGTGGTTGGTGAAACTCTGTGC